GATTTTTTTGGGTTTGGTTGTTTTGGGTTTGTTTGGGGTTCTTTTTACAATCTTTACACAAACTGTTTTAATGCCAGTTTACAATTCCAGTCTAGCTATGCTTGTGCTCCTTTTAAAAAGGCTCTTTTAATAATTGACAGTATTTACAAACGCTCCTTGCAAACTGTGCCAATCCTAGGCAGTGCTGATGACCAGCTGGGCTGAACAGCTGTACTGGCCATAACACACTGGTATTTCATACCACACTGAACATGGAACCAGCATTTACCTCTCAGGAAACACACAGCAACCCTGGTGAGACACCACCTCATAAAACATCTCTGTCCTACACTCAAGACCAGGCTTATATGGCTCAATCTTCTTTTAAACCGGTGTTCCCTTTGACATTAACTTTCAATGAAGCACAACAAAATGTCACTATAGGAACATCACTCATTAAGAAAAGGCAAATTTTCTTTAACCTCATCAGTAACTCTGAATTCTCATCTCTGTCTTTGCCACTGAAGTGAAATATACTGCAGAGGTCAGTACACTGAGAAGACATCACCTTTGTCACCTTTTTCACATCAAAATAAATCTCTGCTGCTCAACTGGATCATTGCAGCATTAGGTTCACACCTGGCACTATCCCAGTTCCCTTCAGTACTAAGAAAGCCCAAGCACAGGCATTTCCATGGATCTCCTGTTTGGTCTAACCTGCTTTCCATGTTTAAAAGGATCCTATCCACAAGGTATTGCCATTTGTCCTTAAGGCTCCAGGTAACTGCATCCATCCACTGCAGAGTACAGCTGCAGCACAACACCCTGCAACAGGTGCCCAAGCCAAAGCTGAGAGTAATTCTGGCATACAGCTCCACTAATTCCATTGACTTTCATCTTCCTTACAGCAGAAAGGAACTCAGCTCTAGAGATCTTCTCCCACACACACAGTCTTCATGTGACAGGTAGGCACACGTATGCCAAATAGTGAATTACACAGGTAAAAACCACCAATCAAAGAAAAGTATCAAGAGACATCTTCCTAATAATATTACGACACTGTCTAGCCAATTACTGCAGAATTTGAGTTTTGAGTAGAGAAAATGCAATTTATTCACTGGAAATACAATTAAAATAAGAAAACTTCAGTTAGGTAAAACTATTCCTAAACAAATCAATATAACCATATTATCCTCCAATTTGCTAAATTCATTTTCCAAAGAAACATTAGGGGGAAAAAATCTGCAGAAGCATCCAGTTAAAAAAAAAAAAAACTTAAATCAGGTTTACCTACCACCAATGGTTTTAATTTTAGAACAACCAACCTCCCCAAAAGAAATATTTATCTTACATGAATCACAACACTGCAACCTTAGAAACACTTTATAAGCACATCACAATTTTTTGCTAGTGCTTGCTTACCCAAGGCTTGGAGGGAAAGCAAGTTCTAGCAAGAACTTCTAGAAATGTTGAACCTTTAAAAAACTAAGAATAAAAAAAAAAGGAAAGCCATGGCTGGAATGTAAGTCTATTGGAGGACAACCCCTTTATTCTCTACTGCTCCCCTCAACCCCCTTCTTTTCTCCACCCTGTCTCCCAAGCATATTTATTTTCCCATTCTGGAATGAAAAGCAGAAGGTATCCCAACATTAGCAGACAACCACCTACTTGCACTTGATTCATCAGTGGCCACCCCTAACCACACCAACTTCACACAAGTTCAGACCTGGCCACAGTCATACATGAACTGAACATGGCAATTTCAGAGCAGGGAACTACCCCAACACTGTATCCATAAAAACATGTGGAATGGTTATCCATTTCATCATTTCATATCCATTCAAGTGTGCCAGCAGTGAAACTGCAGATGTTGCAGATGGGAACTGAGCTGTGCTGCTGAGGCTGTGTGAGAATGGACAGACACAGTTTGCTGGACACTGTACGTGGCTGAAGTTATTGCTATTCGCCCCTCACTTCCTTTTTGTGGGTATTAAATTGACTTTTGGTGGATTTCTCTCCTATATTAACCAACCAAGGTAGTGCTGGTCTTAGTGTTACGACGGACGAAGAAACCAGCAGAAGGTGGATCTTCAGAGCTTGCACTTGGGAGAGGGAAGGAAACTACTGTACGCTTAGTCCAAAACAATAACATACTTCAAAACATATATATATTATATATTATATAAGCTATATAATATATGCATATATATATGTGGAGACCTCGAATGGATCTTCCTTTGGAATGGCCAACATTTACTGCCTCCATGACAAGAGCTGCTGACTTAATGCACCTCTGCATACACGCAGGGCTGGGCGCTCCTCGCCACCCGCTCATCTTCCTTTTCCTCCTTAAATAAAGAAAAAACCCTTATTCCATGAGGGAGTTTAGCACTTCTTTTCCCTTTGCAGCCCCACTGGCAGGTCCTTTCACGCATCCAGACGCTGAATCTCCGGGCGATGCACTACCTCTCTGGACTCTGTCCGAGCGCGCATGTAATCGCTGCTCTGACGACTGTTCTGCTGTCTGCTGGTCATTTGCCACTTCTTGACAGCTAAATATGTGTTCACAGCATACACTGCCATTGCCAAGAAACCAAACACCTACAAGAAGAGGAAAGAATTGTCAAAGACAATTTTTGAGAACAACAAATTCCTCAGAAGTTTAGTTTTCTACATTACTTGCACTGACAAATCGTCGTAGCCTGGAAAATTGATGGGTTTTTTTCTTCAGTGAACTAGAGAATCTGCAAAAGTGACTAAGATTAATGAGCCCAGGAAACAAAGTTCTCTGAGTACAAACATGACAATTAAATCCTGCAGTGCAACTTCAGCAGAAGATATTGTTGTAAAGAAAACAGTTCTTCATGTAACAGCTCACGGCGCACACAATGCTGAGGGGATGACAGAAGAACAGATGACCAGTTCAGGCCACTGTCCTGGAGAAGGAGCTGCTTTGCAGCTCTTCTTATCTGCTTCTGCAAAACTGATGTGGGATTTTCAAAGCAGGTTTGAAAAGAATTTAGGGGAAAAAAAGTAAAAATCAATGTTCCCAACTCAAGCACAAAATTCATTTGTTTGAGCTAACTGTTCTAGATTTAAAATCTTGAAGTGCTACAATACTCACTCCCAGAACAAAAAAACATCTGCAGTGAGTAAGAACGCAGCAAATTACACATAAGCAGGTTCAATTTCTTCCTAACTTCTGGCTCTGCCTATTCCATTGGTTTGCAGCATAGAGCAGGATCACCTAAGACTGCTAGAGAAAGAAGCAAGGCAAGTTCAACTGTAAAGTGTTCTCTGCAAATCATTTTTCTGTTTATTCTTTCCTCAAGTCTGAACAACAGCTCAAAGGATATTAATACTTCTGTAATATGAACTATGTTACAGACAACTGTGAAATTAGAAGTAAATTGTGATGGCAAAGCAACAAGTGTGTTCAATGAATGAATAAAAGTTAAATCTTCAGTTTTAATACAAGGTAAGAGTCCAGTACAAAAAAGTTCAAATTCTTACCACAGCAGCAATTTCTGCTCCAGTTTTATGGTTTAAAGCAGCAAGTACTACAGAGGCAATGAAAAAGAAGAAAGTGCTGAGTCCAGTGTTGACCAGATCCTAAAAAAAAAATTAAAAAAAATCATTGGCATTACTAAATGATGACTCTTTGCTTTCTCTTATTAGAACTGACAACACAGAAGGAGGTTAGAACAAGAACTGCAGCAGTGCTTTCCCACTTTCTATGCAGTTGATCACTAGTACAGAAGAAAGCAAAGACAGGAAACAGCCAGGGAAGAAGTGAAATCAAACAGCACATACACACAGAGCATCTCTACAGCCTCTGGACATATCACCTCAAGGTCCTCTGGGCTGATTAGAAAAGTGCTCTCAGCAAAAAGCACCACTAATGCTGCTGTACCTCAGGGGATGCTGAAGCAACCTGAATCTCAAACCTGAGCCAGGAACCCCCTGCTCTCTCTCACATGGCAACAGTGCTTTGTGCACTGCCCAAAGAGCTGTCAGGAGCTTCTCTACAGACTCTTCCAGGCCTTCCCTGTAGCAAACTGTACGTCCTGTGCAATTTCCACAAATAACAGCTGCACGTGTTGTAAGAATACACACATTTTTACCTATTTATTGCATAAAACTGATGTTTCCAGCAGACATTTAGAACATATGCTCAGCAACACCTTCAGGGAAATCTCTTGCTCTGCTCCAAGCAGAGAAAAATGACTTGCAAGACACAATTCAGTAGTACATGTGCTGCATATGCTGCTCAGTGTTCAGTGACTCTGCTGCCATGCCTTACACAACACAGGGTCACTAACATGTCACTGGAACTGCAGGAAGAACTCTGGATGGCACCTATGAGCACAACAGTAATTACACTGGTACAAGACTAGCTGATCAGTCTTGAGGAAACAAAAAATTCAAGAGCTGGGACTGCACCAGAAGAAAAAACTCTAGATTTATTAAGGACCAGCGGTTCAATGAGTTACTCTGGGCATCTTGTACAAGTTTAAAACATCTGATCTGTTGTACACTGCACCATCTGCACTGTGGAGGTGCAGGAAACAAGACTACCATGAGACCCGAGTGAACAGGTGAGGTCAGGGTGGAGGAATCAAGAAACAGCAGTTCAGCACAAACATCCTGAAGGAGCATGAAATCAGTGAGAAGTGAATACTACCATAGGCAAAAGGGATGGAAGGAAAACCTGTATACAAGACTGCTGTGCAACTTACAGGCTTGAGTGAAAGAAAAAAATACCAAACTAAACCACAAAACTGCACTGAACATGCAATTCCCATCATGAAAAAAAAATCACATTAATTAGAATTCAAATCATGAAAAAAAAAAATCACATTAATTAGAATTCAAGGACAAATTGTTCTACTTGACTCTCTTCTTCCACATGCAAGCCAGGCTCACTTCCTGTGCCTTATTTTTTCCCCCCTAAAGAGCATCTTGATGCAGTAAGAAGTGAGGCTTAGAGAACTGAAGACATAAATCTCAAGTTACTTGCTGGGTATGAATCCCATGACTATGCTCCAACTAAATGGCACAAAGACTTTGTAAGGACCAATGTCATCCAGCCACCCCAAAACACCCGTTTTGGTAGCCATGAATAGGGAATGCTTTAAAAAGCAGCTGTAAAAACAAAGCTCCTGGTGCTGTGTTATTCACAGAGAAATCTATCAATTCTGAGGGTACTGGCTCAACACCAGCTGGTTATCAAAATTAAGTGTACTTGGGGACAAACTGTGGTGTGTCACTGCAGCCTGACCCCTGTCTAAAAGAAGGACTTTCCTAAGAAATCTGAGAGGCTTCCACTGCTCACTGCTACTTCCACTCACATGTCCAGATGTCATAAGCCTGCTAAGACCCAAACTGTCTTATTAAACAGTAAAGAAACAAAAGCAAATTGTGAGTCTCAAACTCTTAACACTTTTTCACCACCCTGTGTACAGAAAGGTCCTTTTTATGCTTCCTGAGATAGATATCTGGTACTTAAAGCATCAAAAGTGTAATTCTATTAACTAGTTATGGCATTTTTAAATTATATAATACTTGATCTGCAGAAATAAAGCCTTAACTTTATATAAACAGAGGTATTAGAAAATACATGGCATTTCACAACTCCTCCAAGTATTCCCCTCTCCAGCTCTGAGTTTAGCAGCTCCAACTGTGCTTCTGTGCTTGCCAACAAGAGCTGTGGTGCACAAAACTTTTTCCACTAGAGGGGAAGTCTCACTGCACATGACAACAGATCCAGATTCAACAGTATCCAACATTGCCATTGAGTCTCTAGCATAAATATATGTATGTCACCAAGAATACTGAAACTAAACACTGGGGAGAGGACAACTGTGCTCCTAGATAATTAAAAATAAATAAATTAGTTCAAGCTAAGGTCAAGTTGGGTATTTACTACCAGAGTACATCTGGCACCTACAGAAAGGACCTACAGAACAGAGATAAAATATTGGAGAAATAACTCAGAGGAACTTAGTAATTAGAGGAGGCAAACATCCCAGGATGTGCTGCCATGGCCAAAAAAAGGAAGCAGCAACACTTATACACTGCTTTGGACTCCTGGATACCATGGGTGTACAGTGGGGATCCTACCTGTGCAAGGCACACTGGAATGCTGAGTCCTGGTCCAGTATGCACAGTTGTAAAAGTGTGTTCAAAAATCAGACAGGGTACAGAGAAGAGCCACAGAAGTTATGTCAAAGGAGGAAGAAATTTCTCAGCATGAATCAAAAGAACATGAACTACTTTGAACAGTAGAGATTGAGCTGTGTACATGAAGACTCTGGTGTCTGAATAATCCAAAAATACTGTTTTAACAGCTTAACATCCAAAAGCACAACAAAATGAACAGCATAAAATGAACAGCTGCAAAGTTAAGGCAAAAGTCATATTCAACGTGAAGCTGGTTTTATTTGTAAGGGAGCTAACCATCACAAGCAGCAGCCAAAGATGTGCTCAATGTTCTACCTTTTCACATAGTAACCACTGTGGTTTTTTAGACACACATTTTGCACTTCCTTAGTACCATACTTAAAGACCAAGTGGATGACACCTAATGCTGTATGATTTATGGGGTCAGATGGGCTTATTAACTCTGCTGACCTCTGACATTTTGCATCTGTCAGCCTGATCATCTGTCCAAAGGAGCAGAGTATAAACAAGACAGCCAGGCCTGCCCACAGCACACCACACACCATCAGCCATCACCATGGACAAAATGACTTGAAGGCTTCTTGTAGGTCTGAGACACTGCAGAATATAAAGTACTGCTGAAATGAAGACTGCTGAGCCTTTTCTAATGTACTTTGATACAAGTACATTAGAAACTTGTCACCATCACTGGCATTTTATTTCACTGTACTCTTTACAAAAATATCAAGTTTGTCCTTGCAAAGAATTCAACCATTCAAATCCAAAGAATTGATTTCATCTTGAGGCTCCAATTTATTCATCTCTGCAACTCCATTTTCCCTGGTTAAGTCAGACCTTGTTAATGCAATTAGCAATTGATTCATAGTCTGTAAGCCTAGTTTCTTACAAAGCTAAAACTAGTACAATCTTTTATATCTACAGATGAGATTGTCTGGAGCTTAAGGAGCAATGACACTTAGCAGTAACACTCTCATACAGATAATATAATGGTAACATCACAGACACAAATATCAGTGGAGATTTTTAATCCAAAACTTGGTAGTTACTACTTAGAAAGACAAGAAAATAAAAACAACCAATGGTTTGCGACTAAATCAGAGCAGAAATGAAACAAAAGGAAGCACAGCAAGAATTCAAGTAGTCAAGGACACTCCCTGAAATAATACAGCTATTTTCCACGTAAGAGAAAATGAATAATCGTGACAATAAGAAGAATAAACTAATTGAAAAAAGATGAGCTGCTTCAAATCTGGCCATGATGCAGCTGAAGTTCTTGCTATTATATTTATAGACAAAGTAAAACCACATCACAGAGGTAGAAGAATTTCTGCTGAAATTACAGCAACCTCATGAGACAGAATGTTGTGCCATAAAACACTGTACAAAGCTGCCATCCATAACAGAATAAAATCTATGAGCTGAATCAAATCCACTCTCAACTGCTGCTGCTCCCTTGTGCCTCTCCAAAATGATTAAAACCAGCGACTGACTTCTGGTCTCTTGACAGCTATTTGCAAGTCCTTCTGGTCAGTCACCAATGGTCCTGTTAGTCCAAAGGAGAGCACCCAAGGCCATATATTTGCTATCTGTCTCACTCAGAAGGAGCACAAGGCAGAGGAGACATTGTCACTTGGGATGAAGATGGGCTTGTGCCAAGAGAAGCACTTTGTGTGACACTTTTGGTCTGCTGACTGTGCTGCAAAGGTGGTAAACTCCAGTCAACGACCTATGATCATCCTACACTCTTCCATTTTTAAGGGTGGGGCAGGTATGGTTCCTGGCCTAATGAAGATGGAAAAGCTGAACTGGTGCTGTGAATGAGGTCTGTTAACAGACCTGAAAACTCCCATTAAGTAACTCCTGAAAGCTGCAAGGCACATCAGCTTCAAAGGCTTCTATTCAGCCTCCCAGGTTGGTACCAGCAGCTGGTTCTGATGCTCAGAGGCTTCAGTAAAATCCACATGCCTTTATCCATGGCTCTCCATGACTTCACACATGCAAACTGTTAAGAAACATCCAATAAAAATGCATAGTCTGCCTTTTTATCCTGCATTTTGTGGTGCAGTAAGAGTCTGCACAAGTGACTAGGTACTAGTTAAAAGGGAGGCAGTGCCATATTGCAATTATAATTTGTATAAACAAAAATGTGACATTTAAACTGGTAGATGTTTTTGTCATTTGCTTTTGCAATCCAAAACTTTATATTTAGATGGAGTTTAAAGTAGCTAAATGAATGCAATCTGGAGAAACCTGCACATTCCAACAGCCTGACTCTGCCACAGGAGGTGACAGAAGTCAGTGGCTGCTGGTGTCCAGGGTATCTTCCACAAAAGAGAGAGCTCCAAGTAACATTTCCTTTGAGTTCTGTTTTGGTGGTTTGTTTTTCAGTTATTAATAGTGGTTATTAATATTTTTTTAAAGTTGGCCAA